TGTCAACTGTTCTAAAATCTCCCAACAGAACCTTTCAGAGCATATCTAATATTTTCTATATGAACATCAAGTCAAGGATCTTTATTGTTCACATCACATGTAGTACATGTGGTGGGATGAAATTGTGTACACAGGGTCCCAGTTACAGCCAACAAAAGTATAAATTGTAAAGAAAAACAGTAGTAAGATCTAAAATATGAACTAAGAAATATGCTAAAAAAATAAGAATACACTAAGCGCTAATAGTACAAAAACCAAACGCTGAAAAACAGAAGTAAAAACATAAGCCTGAATGAGTAGGTAAGCATGAATGAACACAGCAGCATGAAATAAATCAGCAGCACAAGATCAGCAGCATGGCTAGTCAGCAGCACATATCAACAAGTGGCATTTTTTCATTCCACATTTATTTAGACAGGTAAATCCCATTGAGCCTCGAGGACTCATTTACAAGAGAGACCTTATTTCAACAAAAAATGATGACAAAAACACAACAGCGACAACAATAAACAGTTATAAAAAGTCATACAGATTTTTTTTAACAAACAGGATGGGGTATGGGCATTACAGTGATGTTTTCACAGTGATAATCTTGATTAGGGATTCATGAGTCGAACAGCCTCAGTGTAGAAGCTGTTTCTCAGTCTAGTGGTTCTACACTTAATGCTCGTCAACCTCCTTCCTGAGGGAAGCAGGGCAAAAAGTGAGTGTTCTGGTTATGTGGGGTCCATCATGATGCAGGTGGCCCTCTTCCTGCATGTGGAGGTGTAAATGGCTGTGATGGTGGGGAGGCTGACTCCAACAGTCTTCTGTGCAGCCTTCATCATTCTTCAAAGCTTTTCTTATTACAGCTGTGCAGACTCCATGCCACACATTGATGCTGGCACACCCCCCAAATATAGGAGGATCTGCAGTGGAAGTGGTCTCCAGCTATAAGTACTTGGGTGTTCACCTTAATGACGACCTCAGCTGGGGCAGCAACACTACCAGCCTGATCAAGAAAGCTCATCAGAGACTCCTTCCTCAGGTGACTGAGGCGAGCTGGACTGGGAAGCTCAGTCCTCTCCTCCTTCTACATGTGTGCAGTGGAGAGCATCCTGTGCTTCAGCATCAATGTGTGGCATGGAAGCTGCACAGCTGCAGAGGGAGGAGCTTTGCAGAGAGTGGTGAAAGCTGCACAGAAGACTGTTGGAGTCAGCCTTTCCACCATCACAGACTTCTACACCTCCAGTTGTAGGAAGAGGGCCACCTGCATCATGAAGGACCCCACTCACCCAGTACATTCACTTTTTGCCCCATTCCCCTCAAGCAGGAGGTTGAGGAGCATTAAGTGTAGAACCACTAGACTCAGGAACAGCTTCTACCCTGAAGCTGTTAGACTCATGAATCCCTAACCATGATTGTCACTGTGGGAAAAAAAATCACTGTAATGCCACTTTATTGTTGATATGTGCTATTGACTATCAATGTTGCTGATGTTATGCTGCTGATTTTTTTTTCTCTGTGCTCCGGTGATGTCAGACGTGTTTCCCTGTGCTCCATCCACACCGCTTCCCTGTTTGCCCTCTTTCGCCTTGTGAACCCTTAAGCCCCCAGTATACTCCCGCGTACGTCTGTCCGCGGAGGTAAGCACGTAGCTCCGCAGTGCATGTCCGCACAATGCTCAATTTTTACAACTGCGTACTCAGTGTCGCACAATAAACTGCCTGGCGACAACCTGTTTTGTATTCAACACCAATGCATTAAATTTCCCTTCTTCCTCCCTGATCTGGCCTTTTGTTTTGTTTTGTTTTTTTGCCAAAAGGCAAGTGATCTCTTCCTCCTCCATTGATGCCATGACTGAAATGGTGAGAAATGAAGGAATTTGTCACAGGCAAATTAAGATCAGGTCCAGCGTAGCTGCAGGAGGGTCTGGAGATTTCCTGGTGGGCTGCTCTGATGTGTGGGCTGCAGGACTAGTGCTCCCTGTTTTTTTTTTTTTTTTTTTTTTTTAGAACTTTTTATTAACAACATATAAACACAAAACACCGCTGCAGCTGGAGCTGCCAGCTCTCTTTTTTTTTTACCTGTTAATCAATCCAGTAGGCATGTCAGCAAATGACCAATCGGCGACCGCAATTTGTCCCGAAGGTAAACGCCCCTTGTCTGCGGAGCTGCTCTGCAGCCGCTCAGGGTGGATGCTTGAGTATGAAGTCTCAACCCTCTGTGGACAGAGCACAGTTTCCGCGCAGCTGATAAGACGCGGGAGTATAATAGAGCCTTTAAAGAGCCTCTTTATTTCCTGCATCCCTTCCTAATTCGAAAGATTTTGATCAGCTGATCTCTCAACAAAATTTATCAACTTCTCCCGACAGGAGTCAGGGTAAGGAGGACCCTCTTACATCGACAGAAACAAATTTGATTCATGATGACAACTGGATTTTGCTATTTGGCTTAGTGAAATCAGGATTGTTTACAAATTCTTGTGGATGTGTCGAAGCTTGGCAGCACTCAGACTGAATTATGTGGAGCTGCGTCAGAGTTGAAGCAGGCTGTTATCAGGACTGTGAACTTTCTGGCAGCACCCATGAATGGTTGGGAATAATCTTGGAGAAAGCTGTGAGCTCGACTTTCGGCATAAGGAATCAATTCGGCTATTTGGAGTCACCATCAGAATTGTACCAGAGAGATTTTAAAAGACAGAAACAGCAATTTACGAGTTCTACCTGACTCAAACTGTGGCCTTGATGGCGGACTTATCTCAATCCCTCCAGGTATGTTTAGGAAAATGAAAGACGTTTTGTCTGTCTCCTCACCCCTCCCTTCCCCAAGGCTGTGGGCATGTGATGGAATCTCAATCGAGCTAATGATAAATAATGCCTCTTATCTGGACAATGGCTGAGATGGGGGCTCTGAACTATTCTACGACCTTCCCTTAAAATTAAATGTCTTCACTGGCCTATATGTTTATGTATCACGTGTATTTATGTGTTGTGCTGTGGTAGGATTTTTTTTATGGCTCAAATTGTGCCCTGTCTAGGACAAGGTGTGAGAGATATTTTTTATATCATCTCTCCTCATGTTTTCTTCCCTTTTCTCATCCAAACAAAAATATTATTCTGAATAAGAATGAGAGGGCAGCGCTTTTTTATAGTAGCAGCTTCAAGCACTACGTCCATCTTTCAGACGACTGTACATGTTCTCGTTGTATCTCGGTGCAATGATAATAAAGCTTATTCTGATTCTGATTCTCTGTGATGGACTTGTGACCCGTCCAGGGTGTACCCTGCCCCTCGCACAGTGTTTGCTGGACATGGGAATCCCCATGACCCAAAATGGAAGAAGAGGGTACAAGATAATGGATGGATGGATGGATGACTGTGATTGTGATTCTGATTTATTTCATGCTGCTATGTTCATTTGTACTCATCTGCTCACACAGATTCATGCTCGTGCTACTGTTGTTCAGCATATTGATTTTGTACTATCGGTGTTTAGTGTATTCTTAGACTTGTGTATTTCTTAGTTCATATCTTAGATATTATTACTGTTTTTTATCATTTATACTTTTGTTGGATGTAACTGGGACCCTGTGTACACAATTTAATTCAATGGCAAATAAAGAAACTTTGACTTGACTTTTACTATCACTCAACCCCTGTGAATAGCAAGCAGCCATCAGGGCACTAATGATAAATTGTTAAGCTGATGGTCTTCCTTTATTATGTGAACTGCTAGTTCTATATGTGAACAAAAAACTGGTTGATCCACTATGAGAAGGGGCTATTTATAAGACTGAGTTTACTGCAGCTCCTCAGACTGAAGAAGACTTTAGATCATTTGGATGATTAGAGAAAAAGCCATCAGTGTGCTAATGATCCATTGTTAGGCTGATGCTCCTTATTGATCATGTGATCAGCTGGTTTTGGTTGTCAGCAGCAAACTGGTTAATCCACTCTGAGAAGGTGCTATTTAAGAGACTGAGCTGAATACAGCACCTCAGACTGAGGAATTCTCTTGGATGAGAGACGAAACATTTCTACATTTTTTTTGCTTTGTTTTTTGTTTTTTTGTTTTCTTGTTTTTTGAATGTCCAGAGGACCAGATTGAACTTTTTTGGATGTTCTTAATGATCTTTCTATATGGATTCATCCAAGTCCGTTTCCCATTTCAGTTTAATAGAGTTCAAACTGGTCTCATAGTATGAACTGAGCAGTGTATCTTACTGAGGGCCCCCTTAATCTGCATTTCAAAATCTTAACTACAAAATGTTTAGAGGGGTACAAAGGAAAACAATCAGGTTTGGGCTCACAAAATGCCTCATTTGCAAATATCTGAAAAACTGTGACTTGTGAATATTAAACTTCTGTACCAGCTGTTTAAAAGAGACAAACTTATCATCAACATAGAGGTCACTCCCCTTCAAGACTCGGTTGTCAAAAGTTGTATCAGCTACTGAGGGAGTAAACAAGATTATTTGACACAGGTGCCACAAACTGTAGCTTTGTAGAGTTAAATACCCTCCTGAACTGATTCTAAATCTTACCCACCCAGATCACAATTGGGTTAGAAGTGTACGTTGAAATTGGTTGTTTAAGATTTTGTATTTTAACAACAAACCCAGAACTCATTATAACTGTAAGACTAGAAAATTCATTTAGTGAGCTATGATACAATGCGTTTTTGTTTGACAATAAAACTTGATTTCTTCACAGTGAAACCTGTAGAAACGAAAAAGGGATTTCAATGAACTGCAGCAACAAACGTGAGTGAATCTGTTTTTGGGTTGTTCAGACTGACTGAATGTTTTTATAATTTCAGGATTTGAATAAATCTGTTTGTTTTTAGCTTGTGGAGAGTGTCTGCTAAGACCTGCTCTGACCAACCATTTAGACCAATCTGATGTCAGGAAAGCTATTGATGGTGAGAATATAAGTTCTTCTATGTATCGCTGAGGTCTTCATAGCCCTGTTGATTTCATTCAATGTGGTTTGTTTCTGACATTTGAAGGAAGAGTGGTGGGTGGGGTTGATGCTATAAAAGGGGCATGGCCTTGGATGGTGTCTCTTAATTGGAGAGGGAGCCATGCTTGTGGAGCTTCACTGATTGACCATGACTGGCTGCTGACAGCTGCACACTGTGTCTATGGGTGAGAAAAATATGTAATTAATTGTAGAAGACAGATTATTTCTAGGAAGAGAGGAGGGGCTTCTGAAGTGTCACCTGTCCATGAAAAGCTTTAGGGAGAACCAAACACTCAAGTGACCTACTGAACTGTTCAGAGTAGCCTGCAGGTGTCACTACACCTGCTGTTCTTCTGATTATTTGTTGTCTTTGTCCAGTCTATGAAAATAATCTATTTACCCGTCTCTACAGGAGAAATGTTCACTTGGAGTCCTGGTCAGCCATCCTTGGACTTCATGCTCAGAGTGACATGAACTCTGTAGATGTTCAAACCCGACGTGTCGATCACATCATCATGAACAAGCAATACAACAGAAAAACCAAACAGGCCGACATAGCACTGATGCATCTGCAGCAGCCCGTTAACTTCACCAGTATGTACCTGAAATGCCCTGAGATTCTGTCCAACCCATGATTGGCTCTGAGTGATTTTACAAATGTCCCTGCATGTGTGTTTCAGAATGGGTGCAGCCAGTGTGTTTACCTGCTGAAGGTCAGAGTTTCACAGCAGGAAAAAAGTGTTTCATTGCTGGATGGGGACGAGAAGCTGAGGGAGGTAAGACAAAACAATCAGTGATATGCAGTCAGGAGAGGCAGGTAAGACAGTGCCACTCCTGTCGTCATAACAAGTAAAATACTAACAATAAGAGAAAATACATTTAACCACTTGACTGATCTATAAAACTGTTTTATAAAACGGTTTTCTGAATTATTTCAACACTTCAATGGTCAAAATTGTGGAATTTACACATTACCTGTTAAACCAATGCAGGATGAGGCAGTGTAGTGCTCTGGTTCACCTCTGGTGGTGCTGTGTCATATATAATATATGAAGTAGGCGGTTGGACCATGCTCATTGCTGTCCCTCTTTATATTGCCAATATACATGTTTGATTACGCATGTGCTACACATGCTGATGTTCTACAGTCTGTCTAATATATTAAATGAATGTGTCTGACATATTTCTTCTTTCTAATCGGCCATAAACGCACAGTGAAAATACACAGAGTGAGGCAGACATTACCATGCTGCACCAATATGGGGCAGTGCTGCCCCATAGGGACAATGAAACATTGCTGTATGTTCTTCTGTTACGCAGAGGAGTGGTGGGGGGTTGTAGCAAATCGGTACATTTGATTAAATTTATTTAGACAAAATGGATGATCATATCTCAAAATTAAGGGATTTTTCAAAACTCATCATCATTTTTCCAAACTCAATCATCTTAAAATAAATGTCATATGATATATGTGTTTTTATTTATCTCTGAATGTTATGAAAACACCTTGTATCTGTGACTTTCCTTCCCTCCATTGATTACAGTGACATTATTTACATGAATGCTCCTACAAGCACCCTGCAGATGTTGGATGCTGTCTATCATGGTGAACTAAGATTTATAGCTGGCTGTGATTATCGTACCCACCACTGCACCCTGTATTCACTGGTTAACTGGACATCATTAACTTCACGCAGACTCTCTGCCTGGTACATTTTCATCATTAAATCACTTCTTGGTCTGCTGCCTTCATACATCTCCTACATGTCTCTGCATGAGTGCAGCTACAGTGTGCGCTCTAAGAACGATATTACATGCAGTGTTCCCTCAGTGCAGACTGAACTAGGCAAAAGGGCCTTCTCCTAATCCGCTCCTGTTTCCTGGAATATCTTACAAGAAGATCTGAAGCTCTCGACCTTGACCTCTCTAAGTGGCTTTAAGAATCTGTTGGACTCCTGGCAGGGACCAATGCAGACATGTTTCTGTTTTTAGCTTTTTACATTCGCCTTAGAATCTAGCTGTTTTTTGTTACTTTTCTTTTTTTTAGCCATCCTATTTGTAAAAAAAAAAGTGTATGACTTTTTATAACTGTTCATTGTTGTCACTGTTGTCCATTGTTGTCATCATTCTTTGTTGAAATCAGGTCTCTCTTGTAAATGAGTCCTCGAGGCTTATTGGGATTTACCTGTCTAAATAAAGGTTGAATGAATTAATTTATGTATTTAAAATGAGAGGCGTGTGGAGTTGATTAAAGCATAAATAAATTACTTTTTAAAATGAAAAAAGGGGCTAAATTGAAATATAAGCTTCTATTTTCAGAGTCAGAGAGTCAGTGCCTCACCTGTCAGAAACCACACTCCAAGTCACTGAGAACAAAACACATAATTACACAAAAATATATCATTGTATATCCTGATGCATGCCCAATAATCCAGGTAGAAAAATCCAAAAAAGTTCAATCTGGTCCTCTGGACATTAAAAAAAAATATATATATATATATATAGAAACGTTTCGTCTCTCATCCAAGAGACTTCCTCAGTCTGAGGTGGTTTTCAGCTCAGTCTCTTAAATAGCACCTTCTCAGAGTGGATCAACCAGTTTGCTGCTGACAACCAAAACCAGTTGCTCACATGATCAAGAAGGACCATCATGCTAACAGTGGATCATTAGCACACTGATGGCTGTTTACTATTCACAGGGGGCTGAGTGATACTAGCAATCACAGCATTGTAAGAGGGGGACAGTTGAACCCAGAGGCCTCCACCCCTGTTTAATGATGGACGATTTCTTTTCACAAAGTTGGCCTCCTTTACTCCTCTCTCAAACCATCGTTCCTCTCTGTCCAGGATATGAACATCTTCATCCTTGAAAGAGTGACCGCTGGCCTGGAGATGAGTGTAGACCACAGAATCCTGGCCTGATGATGTTGATCTTCTGTGCTGGGCCATCCTTTTGGCCAGTGGCTGTTTAGTTTCCCCGATGTAAGACTGATCACAGCCCTCCTGACACTGAACAGCACACACAATATTACAAATACATCATCCCTTTAGTTGGCAGCTCAGAACACCACATACAGAACATCATGGACTTTGTGGATAAGGTGAGGGATGTCATCATGGAGACTGATGAAACAATGGTATCTTTTGATGTCACATCACTCTTTACGTGCATTCCTGTTGATGATGCAGTAGAGGTGGTCAGTTTAAGATTAAAATCAGACACCACTCTGAGCAGCAGGATCACGCTTTCCACAGAACAACTGTGTCATCTCTTGAAACTGTGCCTGCAGTCAACCTATTAGCATATGGGGAGCAATATTGTAGACAGAAACATGGGTGTGCTATGGGGTCTCCAGTTTCTCCTATTGTTGCCAACCTATACATGGAGGAGGTAGAAAAGAGAGCCTTGATGTCCTTTTCAGGGACACCACCAAGTCATTGGTTCAGGTACGTTGACGACACCTGGGTTAAAATTAAATCTCAGGAAGTCCAACATTTTACTGACCACATCAACTCTGTGGATAAATACATCAAGTTCACACGAGAAGTCGTAAAAAATGGCAGGTTGGCTTTCTTGGACTGTGAGGTCTCAGTCTCTGATAGAGGACATTTGCAAACCGAGGTGTAACGCAAACCCACCCACACAGACCAGTATTTGCAGTTTGACTCCCATCACCCTTTGGAGCACAAGTTAGGAGTCATCAGGACTCTGTATCACAGAGCAGACAGCATCCCCACTAGCTCAGGAGCCAGGCAGAAGGAGAAATCCTACACAAAACAGGCTCTAGAGCAATGTGGATATCCTAACTGGGCCTTCCTGAAAGCAGAGAAGAAACCCAAACAGGACTCCAGTCAGCCATCAGGTGAAAAGGAGGAACCCAGACCAGTGGTCATTCCATATGTTGAGGGAGTATCAGAGAAACTGAGACGTTTATTTTCTAAACATAACGTCCCAGTGGCTTTTAAACGCCAAAATACATTACGGCAAAGACTGGTTCATCCCAAAGATCCAGTCCCCTGGCACAAACAGAGTAATATTGTGTGTGCTGTTCAGTGTCAGGAGGGCTGTGATCAGTCTTACATCGGGGAAACTAAACAGCCACTGGCCAAAAGGATGGCCCAGCACAGAAGATCAACATCATCAGGCCAGGATTCTGTGGTCCACACTCATCTCCAGGCCAGCGGTCACTCTTTCAAGGATGAAGATGTTCATATCCTGGAAAGAGAGGAACGATGGTTTGAGAGAGGAGTAAAGGAGGCCATCTTTGTGAAAAGAAATCGTCCATCATTAAACAAGGGGTGGAGGCCTCTGGGTTCAACTGTCCCCCTCTTACAATGCTGTGATTGCTAGTATCACTCAGCCCCCTGTGAATAGTAAACAGCCATCAGTGTGCTAATGATCCACTGTTAGGCTGATGGTCCTTCTTGACCATGTGAGCAGCTGGTTTTGGTTGTCAGCAGCAAACTGGTTGATCCACTCTGAGAAGGTGCTATTTAAGAGACTGAGCTGAAAACAGCACCTCAGACTGAGGAAGTCTCTTGGATGAGAGACGAAACGTTTCTATATTTTTTTGCTTTGTTTTGTTTTTTGTTTTTTTTGAATGTCCAGAGGACCAGATTGAACTTTTTTGGATATCATTGTATAGACACAAACTGCAGCAGTCTGAAAAATTGCAAACATAACAGAAAAATAATCAAGGCTGAATGATAATATTCATGTAGATTCCCTACAGAATTCAAAAAGCGTTCAATACAAAAACAACTGGACTTTATTTGTAACAGAAGACGTTTCGCTCCTCATCCGAGGAGATTTCTCAGTTCAAATAGCAGTGAGTGTGAGATTCGGGTTATAAGACTGAGTGAGATGCAAACAAGAAAATCTCACCCCCAGCAGTTTAAAATTCAACTCCACGATCAAAGGACACAGAGCAGAAGGAATACTCCTGAAAGCTCAAAACAAGCTGCTCAGTGAGAGAATAAGACAGATCCACTTCACCATTGAAGCTCTCTCACTTAAAATGGATCAGACCCTCCAGAAACTGTCTACTCTGCTACCACTTCCTCTTTTCGAAGAAGTATCTTGTTTTGTTGAAAAGGCCCAGCTATCACAGCATCAAAAGAGCAAGGAACGTCAAAAAGGTAAGTCTCTTAAATTACAGCAAAGATCTGTTTTCTCATCACAAACCATCAGTCAAGATCAGGAGTTTGGCGCCAACGCAAATTTTCAGGACCAGTGGGTTAGAAATTTGTCTAACAGGACCTTGACACAACCTGTGAAAGATGTGTTGGCAAAAGGACTAAATTTTTCCATCTCGCCACAAGAAATACCTGTTGTGGAACTAATCACGGCCACTGAATCCGCGATTAGGAACAACAACTTGACGGAAACAGAGGCAGAACAACTCAGAATGAAAATATCAGCAACCCTCTCCAGTGCCAAACTGCCTCCTTCAAACCTCACACCATAGGAATGGAAAGCTGTAACATCACTCAGCCAGGACCAAAACATCACCATTTTACCAGCTGATAAAGGAAGATGCACAGTAGTCCTCAACACTTCTGATTACCAGGAAAAAATAACTACACTACTGAGCGACAGCAACACCTACGAGACTCTGAAGAGGGACCCAACCAGCACCTATACAAATAAAGTCACAGATTACCTACAAAAACTTGAAAAAGAGAAAACAATCAATCGATCGTTGTATTATAGATTATACCCAGGGAAGCCACTCCCTGTCTTTATGGACTTCCAAAAATCCACAAAGAAGGAGCA